AGTTATTTGTTAAATATTTTCAGTATATTTTGATGATTAAAGTTATTTTTTACTCTTTTATTCAAAAAGTAATTTTTACTTTTTTTGCCCAAAAAAGTAATTTTACTTAAAAAAAATCAACAATTAGTTGAAAATTTGAGTAATTTTTTTTAACAAATGTATATAAAAATACATTTAAAAATTTTGAATTGTAAATTTGACATATTAATATAATATTCTTAAAATTATATCATTTTATAATCTCATAACTTAATCGAAAATATATGTGCATGTGTGTATTTGCAAGAAATCTAACATCTTCAACAAACGTATATATTAAAAACATTAAATATTTCAAATTAAAAAAATTAGAGAAAATTACCGAAATTCTAAAGAGAATAATATTTTCCAAAAAAGATAATAAGAATTGTAAATATTTAGAAGCATCAAATATAAAAATATAAATTTAAAATTACTAAATTGTTCCTAATTAAACTTCTTACGTTCTCTCTTAGTTACAAGAGGGTTTTTTTTGGTGACTTTCATTTTTCATCAACATCCATATAATCATATCACAATCATTTAATTATTAATATGGCTATTTATCAAATTTAACCGTAGTTTGATTTTAAAAAAAATAAAAAAACATAAAATCACACTGTTTATTTGTCATTTTATGTACAAACTAATGATAAAAATCATGGGTTGATGAAATTTTTGGTCTCTGAAATTTGATTTCATTTTGGTTATAATCCCTGAAATTTGAAACTAATAGTTTTGATCCATGAAATTTGACCTCATCTTAGTTTTTGTTCCTAAAATTTGAAATCACAAGTTTTAATCCCTTAAATTTGATTTCATTTGGATCTAGCTAAACACTTTTAGTCTCCGGAACATTATTTTTTAAGAGCTAAAATCAAAATGGGGTTAAATTTCAAGAACCAAAACTACTAATTTTAAATTTCAGCTGCTAAATCCAAAATAAGATTAAATTTCAATGATTAAATCTATTAGTTTTCAAATTCTAGGAATTAAAATTAAAATAAGGTTAAATTTTAAGGAAGGTTGGGTTAATCCAAAAAGCATTTACAAAATAACAGCTATCAAGCAAATAAATAAGAGATGGGCAAGATGACAAGGAAATTTAGATCCAATGTGCACTGCAAAACCAGCTACAACTACAGTAGCGACTGGCAAGACTGTAGGAAATAGGAAGGGTATTTTTGTACTTTAGGATATTTACTTATTTATCTTGCCTATATTACTTATACGGGCCTTCTTTTCCTTTCTTGTTCATAGTTTTCGGTTATGTTGTTTTGGACTCTATAAAAGGAGCCTAGTTTGGACTATTGTAAGTCAGTTTGTTTTCAGATGTATTTGGACTCAGTTTTTCGGTTAATGAATATGTACAGCATTTTCCAGTAAAGCGATGTGTTTAAGGGTTGTTGGTGAGGTGTAGAGTTAGTCAACATGGTATCAGAGCCTAAGGTTTGCCTTCATCGGAGTAGCTAGCCTTAAACTAAACCCAGATCATCATCCTTTCATCGGAGAAAACTCAACGGCAGAAGCAAAATTGGCTATGGAGAATCTGCCATTTTCCCATCCCCTGTTTTTACACCCATCAAACATGCAAGGATCTTCAATCGTTCAACACGCCTTGACGGGCACTGAAAATTAGGGTTGATAGGAAAGAACAAATTAGGGTTCGTCGATGGATCCAGTAAGAAGAGTGATCAAGATTCCGAATTGAAAAAGCAGTGGGACCATTGCAATGCAGTTGTTCTTTATTGGATTTTTAGTTCAATCTCAAAAGAATTGGCAAACGGAGTTATCTTCTTCCAGAATGCACATCTTGTCTGAATGGATTTAAAGGAGCATTTTGATAAAAAGAATGGCGCACAAATTTTCACCTTGCATCGCGAAATCACATCTTTAAGGTAAGGCTCATTGTCGGCATCTGTGTACTATTCAAGATTGAAGGAACTATGGGATGAGCAATCGGCCTTGGTAACTTTCATGTACTTGTGCAACATCAAAAACCTATCTGGATGTCATTCAAGAACAAAAATTATTACAATTTTTGCTCGAGTTGAATGATTCATACTCTCAAGCCCGTAGCCAGCTTCTCCTAATGAATCCTCTACCATCAGTTAATGAAGCTTACTCAATGATCATACAAGATGAGACTCAAGGCTATTATCAATGGAGAACGAAACTCACCCACAGAGGGTATAGCAATGACGACTAGAGGTTGTGGACGTGGTAGGGGTAGAGGACGTGGTAGAACTTGCCAGAATGCTCACATTGCCACAAGAGAGGACATACAAAGGACAACTATTATCAGATCATAGGCTACCCAGTGAACTTTAAAGGAAACAGAAACAAGACAACTAAATAAATGAATCAAGGAGTCACTGATTCGTTTTCTGCTCAAGAAGCATACCTGAATGAGGCAACTTTTGTGGTGCCTAGCTTTACTCAAGAGCAGTACCAAAGGATTTTGGAGCTACTTCAAAAGGACTCAGAACCTAAAGTGCATGCCCTCACTAGTACAGGTTTGGCTATTCCTATGACTTACAATGTTTCTTATTCAACATGGATTCTGGATTCTGGGGCCACTACTCACATGGTGGGTAGTTTAAGTCTTTTAGAAGATTATAGAATTTATGATGGACCAATCAAATCCATAAAGATACCTCATGGTAATCATGTGCCTGTTACTCATATAAGAAAGGCAAAAATTTCTGATAAAATAGCTCTAATTGATGTTTTGTTTGCTCCTAAACTCAAGTTCAATTTAATTTCCATTTCAAGGCTTACAAAAGAGCATAAATGCATAGCTTCTTTCTTCCTTGACCTATGTTTAATGCAGGGCGTTTGGGATGGGAAGATGAAGCTGATCGGTAAAGAATTTGCACGGTTATATGTTTTGAAAATAGAAAGAAATCATCATGTTGTGAACATTGTTCAAAATAGTTATGGTATTTAAAATTGTTCTGAAATATCTCTATGACATAAAAGATTAGGACATGCGCCCCTTTCTGTAATGCAACACCTTGATTTTGTAATAAACTCTGATGTTTCATTGAATAAAGGTTGTGATGTTTGTGTTCAATCCAAGCAAACAAAATTTCCTTTCACTGCTAGCTGTATAAAGACTAAATGTTGTTTTGAGCTCCTGCATATAGATGTGTGGGGTCCATATAGGACACCAACATATCATGGTTATCAATACTTTCTCACTGTGGTTGATGATTTCTCTAGAGGGACTTGGATTTTTTTGATGAGGAATAAATCTGAATCTGTCATGCATGTTAAGAATTTTATTGCATATGTTTTGAATCAGTTTGATAAGCATGTTAAGAGAGTGAGAAGTGATAATGGAACTGAATTTAAAAATCATGAGATGAGATCTTACTTTTAGCAAAATGGCATAATGCATGAAACATCCTGCCCCTATACCCCTGAACAAAATGGGATGGTAGAACGAAAGTATAGGACCATAATACAGCTAACTAGAAGTCTACTAATAGAGTCTAATGTTCCAACATGCTATTGGGGGGAACGTGTGAAAATGGCTGTTCATTTGATTAACAGAATTCCTTCCAAAATAATAGGTTATAAAACTCCTTATGAGAAGGTTTATGGAAGTAAACTTGATTTAAGTCATTTAAGAGTTTTTGGATGTTAGCTTATTCCACTAATATGAACCTTATAGACAAATTACAATCTAGAGCAATTCCTTGTGTTTTTCTGGGCTATCCAGAGAATCAAAAGGGATTCCTCCTTTTAAATCTAGAAAACAAAAGTGTTTTGGTTAGTTGTCATGTTAGTTTTGCTGAAGAAAGATTCCCTTTCAAAGATGTCATAAAGAGCAAGGGGGAGTACACCAAGATTTAAAGGACATGTTTTGGTATGAATCAGTAAGAATGTCAACAAAAAGTAATCAAGAACCAATCATTAATAATAGGAATAATCAAGTTCAATCCAATGATGTTGGAGAATCGATGAACATCCCTAATGGCATTGATAATCTGAATGGTACTCCTCCTGCTGGAAGTCAGACTAGACCGAACAGAGAGAGACATCTACCTATATGGTCTAGTGACTATGTCCTCTCAGATGTGGTCTCCCATGTGAATATAAAGTATGATGGTAAATGCAAGTATCCTCTTCATGACCACATTTCTTATGATAATATTTCTTCTAATCATTTGTGCTTCCTTTCATCTATTGATTCTGAATCTAAACCAACCTGTTATGAACATGCTGCTTTAAATAAAAGATGGGTCGATGCCATGAGATGTGAAATGACAGCTTTAGAGAATAAGAAAACTTGGGATATTGTAACTTTACCTAAGGGTAAGAAACCCATAGGATGTAGATGGGTATACAAAATCAAGTATACTTCTAATAGGAGCATAGATAAGTATAAGGCTAGATTAGTAGCTAAAGGTTATAGTCAAAGAGAGGGAATAGATTATCATGAGACTTTCTCACCAGTTGTGAAAATGTTTACTGTTTGTCTGGTCCTTAAGCTGGCTGCCATAAATAGATGGAGTCTTCACCAAATGGATGTTCATAGTGCATTCTTACAGGGAGATTTAAATGAGGAAGTTTACATAAGAATTCCTTAAGGTTTTGAAAGTAAGGAGGAGAACTTAGTTTGTAAATTAAAAAAATCTCTATATGGTTTGAAACAAGCTTCTAGACGATGGAACCGGAAATTATCTAGTGCTTTGATAAGGGGAGGCTTTAAACAGAATTTGAATGATTATTCCTTGTTTGTTAAAAAATATAATGAAGGTATTGTGCTGATTTTAGTTTACATTGATGATCTTTTACTCACTGGAAGTGCTGAGATTGCAATTCAAGACACAATAGATTTTTTACACAACAATTTTAGAATTAAAGATCTTGGTTTAATGAAATATTTTCTTAGAATAGAGGTAGCTAAGTCAGAATCTGGTATAATATTATCAAAAAGAAAATATGTGCTTGATATGTTGACAGAAACTGGAATGACTGGTTGTAAACTTCTTGCTATTCCAATGCCACAGAATCTTAAACTGTTGCCATACATGGAAGGTAAAACCAAGAAGGAAGATTTGTTAAATGAACCAGAAAGATATAGAAGGTTAATAGGTAAGCTTATTTATTTAACAATGGCTCGCCCGGACATTTCTTTCTCTGTATATCCTTTGAGCCAATTCATGCAGAGCCCAACCAGATCGCATATGGCAGCAGCAAAGGGCATTGTGAGATATCTCAAGGGATCTGTTGGTTTGGGGATATTCCTTAGTTCTGAAGGAGAGCCAGAATTCACATGTTATTGTGATTCTGATTGGGCATCATGTGGAATTACTAGAAGATCTGTCATAGGATACTTATTGAAGTTTGGAGGCTCATTGGTGATGTGGAAAATGAAAAAGTAGGGGACTATGACTAAGTCATCTGCAGAGGCTGAATACAGGGCATTAAGCATGGCAACTTCTAAAATCAAGTGGGCCATAAGACTACTGCAAGACTTGAATATTTTTCACAGAGGATCGGTTAATATTTTTTGTGATAGTCAAGCTGCTATCCACATTGCTGCCAACCTGATTTACCATGAGCGGACCAAACATATTGAAGTGGATTGTCACTTTGTAAGAGAGAAATGGGAATCCAAACAAATTGATCTGAAGTATGTAAGATCAAGGGAACAAGAGGCAGACATACTCACTAAAGCAGTCACTAGAGAAGTACAAAGAAGATTATTGAGCAAGTTACAGACTATTAATTTGTTTAGTCCCAAACTTGAGTGGGAGCGTAGGAAATAGGAAGGGTATTTTTGTACTTCAGGATATTTACTTATTTATCTTGCCTGTATTACTTATACAGGCCTTCTTTTCCTTTCTTGTTTATAGTTTTCGGTTATGTTGTTTTGGGCTCTATAAAAGGAGTCCAGTTTAGACTATTGTAAGTCAGTCCGTTTTTCAGATGTATTTGGACTCAGTTTTTCGGTTAATGAATATGCAGAGCATTTTCTAGTAAAGCGGTGTGTTTGAGGGTTGTTGGTGAGGTGTAGACTCAGTCAACAAAGACTTGGGAAAGCAATTAGTTGCAAATCCTAGATTCCATGAGATTAACTTATCTTTAAAAGTGGGCCCATTTATCCAAGTGGCTCCTAATTTTACGCGTCTAGATTAGTTATCTCAGTTCCAAGTCATACTGCATAGAGGAAAACTTAACAAGGAAGCAAATGGGACGGCCGCAAGGTGGGTTGCGGCAACAAATTCGAAAGGGAATCTTTGGTGTTGTAATTAAAAAAATTCAAAGTTTCAATATTTCTTCTTCTTGTTTTTTTTTGGGTCTTGGCCAGGAAATCTCTAGAAACTTATAGAAGAAAACTATGAGTTTTAAATTAGGAAAATAACAAATAAAGAATCCCAATATGTGAAATTGCGATTTGGGACCCTTAATTTGGAAAATGGCTAATAAAAATCAGATCCCATATTACAAATATGAAATCTTGGTGAAATGTCTGAAATGCCCTTAGTCAAGTTGTGATTTGATCTGTTGAAGTTGTCATTTCCTAAAGTGACTTTGTCATTTCTTGTAGTCAATTTGTCATTTGGTATATTCTTAGCCAAGTTGTGATTTGGTCTATTGAAGTTGTCATTCGCTAAAGTGAACTTGTCATTTCCCATAGTCAACTTGTCACTTGGCCGATGGGCATTTCAGATATTTCACCAAGATTTTATATTTGCAATATGGGACCGGGTTTTTATTTGCCATTTTCTAAATTGAGAGTCTCAAATCATGATTTCGCATATTAGGGGATCTTTATTTGTCATTTTTCCATTTAAATTAAAACAAAGAATTTTAAATAGAATTATGGAATAATGAAATACTGCCTCCGCTCCTTAATATAAGAGCTTGTTTAATTTTTATTTTGGTTATAAATATAAAGTTCCAATCTATTTTGTCTCTCATATTTATTTATTTTTTTCAAGGTAGTCCTTCTAATAATGGTAGTTCTAACTAATACACTTGATTAACAAAGACATTTTAGGAAAGATAATACATATTTATTACAAATAATTAACTTAATTAATTTTCTTAATCTATTTAAATTAGTCAACTAGTTTTTATATTAAAAACTGGAGATAGTAAGACATTTGTGAGTGGCTTTATGTTTTATGATGTAAAATGTTTAGGGAAAAAGTAATGATGATTACTGGATTTATTCCAATAATATCCTTCATCATTTAATTGTAAATTAATTAGATAGAAACGAAATAAAAGGTCAGTTGTTACAAGCAGTTATAATCGCAACAAGAAGGTACTTTTGGAATAAAAACTCTTTTATTGGGGTTTTTTTTAATACTAATCACAATTCTTATCTCTTAGTTTTAATGTTTCATACTAAACATGATCTAAGGATTTAAAGATCAAGGACATATCGGGTTAATTGTCGAAATCCAGGTTTGCGGGTGGTCTTGCTACTTACTAGGCAAGCGGTGGCCTCACACACGACGGGAGCGGCTTTCCTCCTCTACCTTACCATTCAGTCCCCCTCCTCCGCCCAAAACTATGCCGATTTGGGTGTTAAAATTCAAGGCTCTCCACTTTTTTCTTTTTTTGGGGGGAAATCAACATCTTTTACTTTGAAGATTTTTTAGTAGTATTTAATATCTTAAAATAATTTTTAGTGTACTTGACATTTAAAAATATTTTTCAGTAGTACTTAGTACTTCGTAAGTTACATTCTGAATTATTTTTTCAGTAGCACCCAACATTATTAATTTTCTGTACATCCAATACTCCATATTATTTTCTTGTAATAATACCCAATATCCTAAAATTAGTTTAGAACATCATGTGCTACTGAAAAAATACTACATGTCCAACTTGCTAGATACTGGGTGCTGCTGTAAAGATATTTTCAAGTGTTAAATGCACTAGCAATTATTTTAGGCTTCAGAGTAATAGATATTAGTTTGACCAAAAAAAAAAGTGGTTGGCCTTCATTTTTAAAATACTGGATGTTACTAGAAAAGTAATTCAGAGTGCAATTAGCTAAATACTAGCTACTATTGAAAAATATTTTTAACTATCAAGTGTACTCAAGATTATTTTAGGATACTGGATTGATTTTGGGGGGAAAAAAAGGGGAGAGCCTCCAATGTTAACGCCCAAACCGGCATAGTTTTGGGTAGAGGAAGAGAAATAGATGGTAAGAGTAGAGGAGAAAAGTCACTTCCCTCACTTTTAGCTCATGTTGGCCTCTTGTCTTGCAGCATTATGATTCAAAACGTGCATCTACTTTCATTGCCCTGAAAATATTGATGTGTTTTGCATATAACTGTTATAAAGTTTAAGTTGATATCCAATACTAATCTTATCAACGGTCGATGTTATATATATAACAGTCTGCGTGGCTAATTTATTATTGTTTGCATTTGTTAAATGTACATGGTAAAATTCTAGGTTATTAAAATATTAGTACTCGCCTCATTCAACATTTTTAAGGTGAAGGATTAGCTGATTAGGTAGAAAATCAAGGTAAGGCACCAAAAAATTAGAATTGAGGGCTTCGTTTTTCTTCTCAAGCATTTAGTGATTATGTTTAGTTGTCATGGCTTTATGAAATTATTGCCGTATTTCTTAATTAAAGTAATTCAATAGCTTAGCTTCACGCTCTTATTTTGAATTTGGTTTACCATCAAATCAAGCCTATATTTTTGAGACAGTTTTTAAATTCTTATGAGTATTGATTGGATGTTAAGTATACAAATTTTTTAAATGAGACATTACATTTTTTTAAGGTATTACAGAAAACAGGCAAAATAAGCCAAGCTTATCTAGCGCATCATTTGAGAAGGGTTACATTCTTTTTAAGGTGTTACAGAAGAAGCCAAGCTTATCCATCGCATCATTGAAAAAGGGTTGAATTCTTTTTCTTCTTTTTCTTTTTAAAAACAAAAGGTCAAAAGGAGGATAATGTATTGAATTATCCAAATTCTGGCCAAAAAGAATTAATAATTTAAAACATTAAAAATATTTTGAATATAATTTTATATTTTATATTATTTAGATTTTAATAAATATAATATTCTCTAATGAAAATTAGTTTTTCCTTTATAAATAAAATTCTAAAATTTAATGATAAATATGGTAATATTATTTTTTATGTGATAAGCTTTTAATATTTTAAATTTTTCTCAACCATAAATTAATAATTTCTATTTTTATAATTATAATTATATTTTTTTAAATTATCACATTTTATACCCATAGTGCGTGGGTGGGTGTCTTTAATAAAAAAATATGTTCTTTTCTATTTTACATATAAACATGTTTTAATTAATTATTTAAAAAAATTTTAATTTATCAAAAAGACTTTTTATTTTGTTAAAGCCTATACAAACATAAATAACATCATATTGACTTATATTAATTTTTTTTTTCAATGTCAATTTCAATTTATAAAAGTTATTTGAAATAAAAGTCACTTTTACCGATGATAAGTTTGTAGTCATCCATGTGTAATTAATAATAAATAAATAGTTACAGTAATGAGCTGTGTTTTGGAATCATCCGTGTAAATTATTCAGCAACACCTTTTTAGGCCGAAATGCGGAAACCTGTGACGGTGTTTCATGATTAAAAGGATTCAAAAGAAGTGAAAATCTTAAAAAAAAAAAAAACTTTTAAAATTTTAAATCAATTTTGTTTATTTTAATAGTTGTTTGATTTTAAAATTTTAGAGATTTTTTTTTAAATTTTTTCTTAAAAGAATACTCAATAACTCGCAAGATGTGAGTTAATTAAACCTCAAGAAACAGACGAAAATGGAATAACGGAGAAACTTTGGGGATATAAAATTAATGAATAAGTGCGATTTTTATAATTATACATAATGTTTTTTTTAATTTTTTTTAATTTTATCAAGTATTTTTCAGTACTTTAAACTTAACAATGTTAGTCTCAATAAAAAATAACAAGATTAATATTTTAGATATTGAAAGAATATTTTTAAATAATAATTTATTAAGATTAATGTTAAAATACCAATAATTAATATAAAAATATTAACTCTTTTGGGCCAATGATAGTAGAGAAACTGTTAGATGACTAAATACTGCATAAGATTAGGAAACTCAACTAAAATTTATATAAAAGTTACATAATTAAAAGCATACCTTTACGTACAATTATTTTTAAATCAGCCGACAATAATAATGGGGTAAAAAAAAAAGAAATATATCTAAATTATAGTTCCGTAAAACAGTGGAAGGATTGGGAGAAAAACCCAAAAATGATAACATAAATAAACCTGCTGGTCAGATATTTTCCCTTCCTGTCTCAAAAAAAAAATAAGAAGAAGAAGAAGAAGCAGGATGTCTGTTTTGTGACAGGTTTGTCATATTTTAATCTAAATATTTTG